GGGGGGGGGGGGGGGGGGGGGCACCCGCTGTTGGTTTATTGCCCTGTCCGGGGCTGTGTGTGGAAGCAAATCAGACCGCAGACCCCACCGGTCGAACTCGTTCTTGCAACCATGCCGTTGCTGTTGCTGATGTCGCCCTGCGTGTGCTCGAGAGCCAGCCAAACGACTGCACCAAGTCAGCTCGACGTGCGGTGCGGTGCGGTGGGGTGCAAGTACGCCGCACCTCTCTCCCGTTCGTCTGATGACGCCAAACACTCGCACGCACACGGCTACACGGCCTTTGTCTCCCGTGTAACCTTGACACCCCGGACAAGAATGCTCTCCGTCCTCTATCGAGGACGCGTGGCCAACGGTCTAACAAAGTCATGCAAAACATGATTACGCACCCCTCGAGGACGCGTCGTCAATGGTGTATTTTTTTTTTTTTTTTTGTCTTCACTTCAAATCAGCGCTCACAGCACTATATTAGTGCCGTTTACTCCAACCCGTGGTCACACAGAAGAGCCCCTCTCTGCCCTCCCCTCCTGCGGTACTTTCCCTTCGATTTTTAATGCGAGAAGAGTTCAGCACTCTCTTCCGTCTGTGTACACACGAACTAGCGCTATCACACTAGGCCAGGAGCGGAAGCGAGAGAAAAACTCACTTTGCAAGAAGAGCTCGCCTACGCCGGGATTCGAACCCCTGACCTGACCTCTAGAAGGTTTCGAGGATACCAACTAGACGACCGGGGCGACCGGCTATTACATGGCATTCAAAAAACATGAAAGAAAAATGCAAATTATGGGTACACGCCCCCCCCCTCCCGCGTGCGCCAAACGAAACAAACACCACGCGCAGGCGATGCTGCATCGTCAACCCCGTGAAGGGCTGGGGCAGCATCGCCACGGAAAACGGGTACGTTATCATCGAGCCCCTCTCGGCCCGCCCACGGTACCGCGTGGTGTACCCGGAGGGGGTGATCGTGCGGTCCGCCGCCGACATCGACGACAGCGACTTCGTCCGAGTCATCTCGAGGGGGGAGATCGTGGAGGGCACCGGCCAGGTCCAGATGTTCGACAACGTCGAGAGAGTCCAGGTAGGTTAACGCTGGTGTTGTCGTCGTCGTCGTTGTTGTTGGTAGCGGCAGGGGCCCCGTGGTGTCATAGCTGTTGCTGTAAAAGTTCGACGACTTCGAGGAGTTCAGGTGGGTTAGTGTCGTTGTTGTTGGTGGTGCGGCGGGGGCGGGGGGTGGGTGGTGCCATTGATGTTGCTGTAGATGGTGGTGCTATTGCCACCGTCGCTGGCATGGGGTTCTCACAGACTACGTTTTTTCGTCTGACGCCCAAACTCGTCGCTCGTGTGTGGTGTGTGTTTGCCGGCTCTGAACTACCAGTTCGCCGTTCCCAGTACAGCAGTATAAATAGCAGATTAATCCCTGTGTGTTTTTCCTGATGTACTTCCCTCCCCCCGCCGCCTCTTTTGGTTGTGCTCCTTCCCCCCTGCCCTATTTCGTGTGGTGTAACGCGGGCTGCTGTTGCTTCTGCTCGTGGATGGTGCTACTGGTGCTGATGATACGCATTGCTGGTGGCGTTTTATTTTGCGCCTTGATGATGGCCTTTTTTTTTTCCCCTTGTTGGGGTCGTCTTTTTTTTTTTTTTGCCATGAACCAACCACTTTTAAACGACCAGGTTGCCGACGGCTGGATTAGCATGCGGCTGAGGGAAGATGACGGCGCTCTTGGCGACGTTTTGCTCGAGAAAATCTAATCGTGGTTGATTTTTTCCGGGGGGATTCGTTTACAAGCAAAATTTCTTTTCGATTTCGCGACTGACTCGTTTTTTTTTTTGCTGCTTTCTGCTTTTTGCTGCCATCAATGCCTTGGTGTCTTTTTTTCTGCTCAATTCTCCTTGGGTCCTATCATCTTGGTGTCTTCGGTTTGGTGTCATTATCCTCACTGCTGTCACGTTTGTTGGTCGCGCGTCATCGCGAGTATTTGGGGCAGCACCCTTTGTCCCAGCGGGAGGAAAGAAATTGAGGTGTACAGCAGCGACGACCGGATGAGCGAGTTGACTCTCAAGCAGCAAACAGAGAGTAAGAGAGGGAGAGAGGAGAGACAGAGAGAAAGCGACTCAAGGCTTTCCTTTCCCTCTCTTGAAGCGAACGTCTAAGTAACGTAGTAGGCTTTTTTACGAGGCAGGTGAAGGCAGCGCTCCCGCGACGCGTAGAAGTCTTTCGAAGCTCACCCATCGGGTTCCTTATTGATCGCAACAGTCCGATGGTTTTTGAAGGTTCGAGGCATGCCCCCAGCGCTTTGGGCAGTCGTTGGTGCGCGGGGGGGCTAGTGCAGATAGCACTCGCCGCCTGTTGAGAACCCCCTTTTTCGTCTTGCCAGAGCCTTGGTTCTTTTTTGTTGTTTTTGTGTTCTTTTTTATTTAGGTGTATGCCGTTGCGTGGGTAGGGGGGGGGGGGGGGGGGGGG